ACATTCCCAGCTCTCCTGGATCCCTCCCTGCTCCAGGGAACATTCCCAGCTCTCCCTGGATCCTTCCCTGCTCCAGGGAACATTCCCAGCTCTCCCAGCCTGGAGTCCTCTACCCAAAAGTGAGACAGCAAAGACCCAGAACTGAGTGGGTTTGTGGTCGTTTTCTCTCTGCAGGCCAAAGCTAAAAAAGGTGGCAAAGACAAAAAGGGTGGTGACAAAGGCAAGAAGGGTGACAAAGGCAAGAAGGGTGGCAAAGGCAGAGGCTCCAAAAAGGGTGCAAAGAAGGAAGTGGTACCAGTGGATCTCTTCAGTGCAGCTGCCATGCTCAACGCTTACTACATCTGCCACAACGCCGCCGCCTTCCTGCAGTTCCGGGGCCACCCCTGGCCTGGCTCTCTCAGAAGGAAGGGGAAAGGGAAGAGAAGGAGGTGAGAACCAAACAGCCTGGTGAAGACTCTGCTGTGATTAAACCCGTCCTGGCCTCGCCAGTGCTCAGCTCATACCCCAGTGTCCCCTGATGTTTTTCTTGCTCCTACAAAGACGCTTTGATTGCAGCTCAGGCACAGTGACAAGTGGCAGGGGACAAGTGCCATTGTCACTTCACCCTGTGGGTCTGTGTGGGATGGAGTGCTGTACTGGGGATGGATTCACCCACCCGGGGCTGCTCCTTAGGGATGGGAGCCTCAATCCCTGAGACCTGCCTGGGCTCGGGAAGGACTGACAGAGCCAGGGGTGTGGGGAGGGGCTGAGGGAGCTGGGAAGGGTCTGGAGAACCAGGAAAAGCTGAGGGAGCTGGGAAGGGCCTGGAGAACCAGGAGGGGCTGAGGGAGCTGGGAAGGGCCTGGAGAACCAGGGGGGGCTGAGGGAGCTGGGAAGGGCCTGGAGAACCAGGAGAGGCTGAGGGAGCTGGGCAGGGTCTGGAGAACCAGGAAAAGCTGAGGGAGCTGGGAAGGGCCTGGAGAACCAGGAGGGGCTGAGGGAGCTGGGAAGGGTCCGGAGAACCAGGAGGGGCTGAGGGAGCTGGGAAGGGCCTGGAGAACCAGGAGGAGCTGAGGGAGCTGGGAAGGGTCTGGAGAACCAGGAGGGGCTGAGGGA